ACAGAATTAGATTAGATGCAAGGATATTTAGTTTCTAAGTCATGGGTCCTAGGCAAGTGATTTTAGGCAAGTCAAGTTTTTGTCCTGTGCATCTCTATAAGTAGTGGTTAAGCAACAAAGTTTGTTTTCCTACTGCTTACAGCCATTATCGGTCCCTAAGTAGAAGGCACAATAACAAACTGGTGTTCAACATTAGGACATGGAATGTTTTGAAAAGGCAAGAAAAGCCAATTAGGGTGATTTTTTGTGAGGTAAAGTGATGGTGATCTGGATTGGGATGGACTAAAAGACTGATAAGTCTATATTTGAGAGAATTCAAAAGAATAAAGCGATAGAGCCAGTTGAAAGACAGGAGATAAGAGGTTTTAAAGAGAAGAAAGAGTTGAAGAGGATTTCAAGGGACTTTGCTACTGGAGGTATTTTTTTTAATTTCAGCATATTATGGGGGTACAGATATTTAGGTTACATATGTTGCCCTTACCCCCTCCCCCCCAAGTCAGAGCTTCAAGCATGTCCATCCCCCAGATGGTGCACATTGCACTCATTATGTATGTATATACCCATCCCCTCCTCCCCACTCTACTGAAGGTATTAAAACTGTCAAGGGGAATCTTGTAGGTAATAAATTAATTATAATCCAATTATAGGAGTTTACATTTTCTTGGTAGTTGTTGTCTAGCTAGAATTGCATTTTTGTTATTTTATTTTCTCTGTAGAATCTCTCCAAGAAGTGGGGAAACTCATACAAATCCAGAAGAGCCAGGAGAAGAAGATGAAGATGTTCAAGCGGAAAGAGTCAAAACAGCAAATGCACTCACTGCTCCAAACTTGGATGAGGTGAAAGCCCATGACTACACCCTTAATGAAATACTGAGATAGTTAGCTTGTCCTGCAGAGTTGATGAAATGTTGGTTTTTATTTTGAAAACATGCTTTTGTTTTTGTAATATATTTATTTGTAGGCCATATTCAAATCATTCTCTTCTAAAGTATCTACCCTGTCCTCATTCTTTTAATTTTCTCTTCTTCCTTTTCTGTGGGTCTTAATCTACCAGCTCTTCATTTATCAGTATAATTCAAGAAATTCTCTGATATTTTTATCAACTTTAACAAAATCTCACATCTTTTTCAAGAGTTACTATTTCATTTTGCATTATGTTGGAATAGTAATAATAACTGTGAATAGCATATGAAAAACAACAAATGAATTTACAATGTATGAAAATCAATAAGGCATAAACTGGAAATGAAATTAGTGGAAAGGGGAGGGAGAGAGGCTCAGCATAATGCAAAGGCAATTATTAGGTTAGGAATTAGTTTTGTAAGTAGTTGACAAAGTAGCTTTTATTTATGAACATACACTTGGGCATTTTATTTGACAAAAGAGGCTGAATCTCTTCAGCCTGACACAAAATTTGGTTAGGTTCATAGACTAGGAAATGGAAGATAAAACATGAATTCATAGACTATCTGAAATTTAACAGGAAAATCATGCTTTATCATATTTTCCAGAAACCAGTCATAATGGCAAGCTGTTTACACAAGGAATATAAGAAGAAAAAGAAAAGTTGCTTTTCAGTAAGAAAGAAGAAAATAGCCATTAGAAATCTTTCCTTCTGTGTTAAAAAAGGTTTGGATAAGTCCTTTCTTTATTAGAATGTTCCTTACTTTCTAGGCTTAGGACTATAAAGGGGATACATTCCCATTCTTTAAGACTGTTCATGTTATCTTAGTTAACATGTAATTATAAAAATTCTTCACATGTCAGCAGAGAGGTCTTTTCTACTTCAAAAATTGTGTCCCAGCTCAAGTGGCAAGAAACACGATCTTGGATTGGGAAGATCAAAATTCTTTCTATT